GGGATTGTGGATGAGGCCAGCAGATGTCTATGCCTGTAGCAGGGTCTCCATTTGTAAGCTGATTTCAAAGTTTTCCTTCTAAGTATGACTCATCAACCGTTTTGAGAGTAGCCTTCCTACTTGAACTCAGGAATTGAGAGCAGGGCTGAGTTCTACCTGGAGCATCTACTGCCTGACGTGGTCCTCAGCCTTCTGTGCTGGGTTGTTGAGAGAAGGGTTGTTATCCTCACTGGTGGAGAAAAGGAAGAGGAAGGAGTTTGGGGGCTGGGAATATAGCTCAGTAGAGTGAGCGCTTGCCTAGCATGCTTGAATCCCATAGTTCCAGGCCCAGCATCATCTAGTCTGGTTGTGATGGGTCACACCTGTAGTCCCAGCACTCAGAGGCTGGAGTCAGGAAGATTGGAAGTTCAAACGCCTAGGCTACATGAGTAGGAAGACAGTCTGGTCTGTATGAGACCCCATTTATAAAAAAGTGGTGTGTGCTTGCGTGTGTGTGTGTGTGTGTGTGTGTGTGTGTGTGTGTGTGTGTGTGTGTGTGTGTGTGTCTTTAGTGTTTGGGAAATTATTCAGTGGGAGAAATTAAAGCACCTTTTTTATCTTTAGGCTTAGATGAGATAGAGGTATGAATCAATAGCCTCCTGTTGTGTCTGTCCTGTCTACTGAAAAGACCTGTGTTTTGGAAAATAGATAATTATTTTTACCATGTTTTGATAAGCTGCTAATCCATTGTTTTCTACATTAACTACAAGAATTAGTAAAAAATAATAAGAACACATATGTAGGTAATATAATAAAAATCGGACCTCACATGTTTGACATTGCATTTAAAACAGTAGAACCTTTTTCTTCCTAAGGGTTTTAAAAGAAAAATTTAAATTATATCTGTTTTTGTTTGGGTATGGGCATGTGTGTGCAGATGTTTGTGGAGTCCAGAAGAGGGTACCAGTTCTCTTGGAGCTGGAGTGGCAGGCACTTTGTAAGCTGCCCTACATGGGTGCTGGGAACCAAACTTGGTTCCTCTGGAAGAGCAGGATGTGATCCTAACCCCTGAGCCATTTCACCAGCCTCAAAATCAGTAAAAATCTTGATTCTAAGGAAACTTTGTTTCCTTATCAATGAATTTGCCAGTCTGTAACTCTAGTTCCAGGAATCTGATGCCTTCTTCTGGACTCTAATGGTGCCAGACACTCATGTTGTACATATACATACATGAAAACAAGAAAACAATACATATCAAATAAATTTAAAAAATGTTCATGCTCCTTTTTTTTAAATATTTATTTTATGTATCTGGTGCTCTATATGCATATACACATGCATGCCAGAAGAGGGCACCAGATCTCATTACAGATGGTTGTGAGCCACCATGTGGTTGCTGGGAATTAACTCAGGACCTCTGGAAGTGCTGCTAATGCTCTTAGCCACTGAGCCATCTCTCCAGCCCCCTCAAATAAAAAATTTTTAAAAAAATTTAAAAAAATCTAAAAATATTGTGTGTGTGTGTGTGTGTGTGCGCGCGTGCGTGTATGTGTGTGTGTGTGTGTGTGTTGTATATCTACATATGTCTGTATAGGTGTGTGTATATGCAAAGATCAAATGTATATCAGGAATTCTCCACTCTCCATCTTGTTTTTTGAGGCAAGGCCTCTCAATGAGTCTGGAGCTCACTGATTTGGTTAGACTCACTGGCCTGTAAATCCCACAAATCCTCGTGTCTCTGCCTCACCAGTGCTGCTATTGCAAGCATATGCTACAGCAGTGCCTGGCTTTTGCAGTGGGTTTTGGGGATTGAACTAAGGTCTTCTTGCTTGTGTGGCAAGCACATTACTCACTGATCCATCACCACAAACCGTACACTGTGGTATTTTTGCTTGCTTAAAATTCAGGAAGTAGGCCTGGAGAAATGGCTCAGTGATTACAGCTACTTTATGCTCCTTCAGAGGACCTGAATGAATTTCATTCCTAGCATCACATGGTACCTCACAACTGCCTGTAACTCCAGTTCCCTAGGACCTGATGCCTCTGTGGGCATCTGCCCACATGTGGTATATATAAACTGGTGAATGTACACACACATACACATAAAAGTAAACAAATCTTTAAAGATAATAAAATTTAAAAGCATGTTCATTGCTATAATAATGAACATGTAGGAAGAGTCATTTTATGAATTCAGACAGTTTTTTTTTTTTTCCTCACCCTTGTTTCTACTACCGGGGACAAGATAACTGTAACACATTGCTATCCCACACCCAAGGAAGACCCCCCTCTTGGTCTCAGAGTTGGTGTCACTCTCAGAGAAGCAGCTATGTTCTCACTTCTGTATCACAGCTTGTTTCATCTTCTCTGGGACATCATGTACTCCTGTGTACTTGGCCTCTTTCCTTCAACATAATGCCTTTGAGATTTGTCCATATTGCTGTGTGTGTCATTGTTTGAATTGGGTCCTTTTATATTTCTTAGTTGTAATTGACTCTTCCATGTTCCGTCATTAGTGATAGATGGGCTGGGGGCCACCAGTTTCCTGGTATTCTGCACAAGGCTGAGAAATCTTGTGTTTTATAGACACACTGTTCATTTCTCTTGGGTGAACACTTGGAACTCCATTTGCTGGACCAGAGAGACCGATATGTAGTTTATGAAATTATTGTTTCACTTTGTTTTTCCCCCAGCAACTTAGAAACATCCCTTTGCATAGATTGGCAGGGTGTAGCCGTGGATGCAGCTCTGTTGGGAGAGTGCACAGAAGCCGTGGCTTGAGCCTCAGCCCTTTATAAACAAGGTCTGAGGGCACACACCTGTAATCCCAGCACTCTGGAGGTGGAGGCCAGAAGAGCAGAGGTCTAAGGTCATTCTCAGCTGCATAGCAGCAAGTTCAGGGTCAGCCTGGGCCACAGGAGACCTGGCCTTATAAACCAAACAAACGGACCAGCTCCACCAGTCCACGTTAGTGGTGATGGATCCTCCTGTCCAGCCTCTCCCTTTTTGTACTTAACAGCTGAGCTGTGTTCCATTCTCTCTCATAATTAAATTATTTAACAGCTCAGGTGATAGGCATCTTACTGCTTATATATTTCACTACTGCAGATGAAACTGAGGCAAATGTTACCGACTACACCTGTAATGCTGCTGTATGAGACTTCCTGAAAGGGAAGGTGCTGAGGGCAAAGGACTTGACTCTTTTTGTTTGTGCCTGTGTCAGTGATAAAATGCCTTGATATATGTGTGTTGGTTTCCCTCCAAAGGGTACTGTTCCTGTTTATCCCCCCTCTTGTCTTTACTAGGCAAATGTCTTACTTGTTATTTGTTTATATAACTGTATTATTTACTTTCTTTCCCCATGGGCAGGGATGCTGGGCTTGGCACCTGCTGTAGGCATCTTCCTACTGAGATGCTTTCTCATCCCTGTCTTGTTTTAATTTACATGTATTTGTTTCTTAATGAAGTTGATTACTTTAAAAAAAATTATATTTTTCAAATTTGTTTTTTTTTTTAATTGAACTTCTCACATACCCTGAAGTTCTGAATGAATCGGTTACCATTTGAACTCTCTGGTTATATGTAGTGAAGCAAAAAAAGGAAATTTGAAGCTTTTCCCTATGCCAACAATTTTGTAAAAAGGTGTCTATGGCTGGGTGTGGTCGCACATGCCTTTTATACTAATACTCTTGAGGCCAGTCTTGTCTTTCAGTGGTCCTCAACCCTCTAATTCTTTGACCCTTTAATACAGATCTTCATGTTGTGGTGACCCCCAACCATAAAATTCTTTCATTGCTACTTCATAACTGTAACTTTGCTACTGTTGTGATTTGTGATGTAAGTATCTGATCTGTAAGATATCTGATATACAACCCCCAAAGGAGTTAAGAAGGGGTCAAGACCCACAGGTTGAGAACTGCTGAATCTTCCCAGGGCACCCGGGATGACATAGAGAGACTCCGTCTCAAAAAATAAAAACAAACAAACAACTTCACCCCACCCAAATAAAAACTGCCAAAACCTTAAGATGTTTTGAATTACAGTCTTCAAGTGAAGAATTCATTTGTATTTATTTCTCATATTTATGTCTGTCATGGGATGGATAATTTGAAAAATAATTCTGATAAATTTGTATGTGTTGTGATTTGTGTAAACTTTTTCATGTCAGTGAGTTGTTTCATACTCCCAGTTTATAAATATGACCATGAGTAGTACAGTTATTAATTATGTTTTTAAAATTAAATGTTTTGGGGGAATTCAATTATTAAGAAATATAACATCTATTCTAAAAATCTTACTTTCATCCTCTTAATAGGGATCCTTGGAAAGTCATTTAGAATTATGTGTTGCTTATTTGGAAATTGTGAGCTAACAATTTCCTATTCAGTGTAAGGCCTTTAGTGGCAGCAAATCAACCAGCCTACAGAAAGGTAGCTGATGGTCCCGAGTGAGGAATCCTTTCATTCCACCCCTTTAATATTCTTACACTACCAGGAAGACATTCCATCAGGCGCTTTGTCTGATTAGAAAACCTTTATGAACATACATATATTCATAAGTGGAAGCCAGAGTAAAAGTAATGCTCCCGCGAGCTTTGCTCTCAGTTAAGCGTCAAGTTGGGATTTCTGAACTCTTTGATTGACATATGTTTCCCTTGGGCCTAGGAAGCTGACCAAGGTGCTACGGACCTACGTGGCCAGTGCTGAGAAGCCTGGAATCAATGAGCAGCTGTACAAAGCCATCAAAGCCTTGGAGTACATCTTCAAGTTCATCGTGCGTTCACGGGTCCTGTTCAACCAGTAAGTGTTCAGCCAAGGCCCGAGCAAATCCTCACCTGTCTCTTCTTTTTCCATCCCTCTTTCTCTCCCCTTGTCCTCTTCTCTGTCCTTGGCTCCTCCTCCTTCCTCTTCTTGCCCTCTGCCTGTGACCCAATCCTCACAGATAAAGGGCAGGGGTGCGTTTGTCCACGCTGACCCTGACTGCTCCCAAAGCCTTCCCTGCAGAGTTTGCTCTCTTCCGAGGTTCAGAAGTGTGCCTGTGAGCCAAACATTGTCTGCTGAAAGCATTTGTAATGCTTCTCACGCAGCGCTGGGCATCCACCAAGGGCTTGGCAGTACTTTTCAGTATATCTTCATAGAGCAAAAAGCCCCACAAGAGCAAACAAAAATGAAACAAGCAATGAGAAGGAAAAGCCAAAATCAAGTTGTACTGCCTCACGTGGGAGCACTGCGGGGCCCCGGCCACTTTTCCCCTTCCAGGAGAATACTGTGTTTCTACAGATACTAGAGCACCCTCAGGTGCTCTGCCTCGTGAGTAGTTCATGGCGGCCGACCACCTTTAGTGTTAATTTTGAACTTGAAAGCAAGTTGGGATATTTATGACTTGATTATTTTAGAGAATGCTGGTCATTTATAAATGGCTATTTCTAAGCTCCACCGTTGTGCTGCTAAAATGAAATCACTCTCTGGTCTCCCCCAGTACTCTCACACTGGCAAAAGAGATGTGGAGGTGGATAGTTGGGGTGGAGGGTGTGGGGTGGACTCTGCTTATTTTTGGAGGGTGCCATTTCGTGAGTGACTTACAGTGAGTGTTGTGAGCACGTGGTGGCTGTGCTGGATGAATTGACCTTCTTGTGATAGGTTTCTACACAGAGATGGGCTCTGTGAACCCATCAATCAGAGAACACACCGCCTTTGCAGAGAACAGAGTGCACCACGTGGGATCAGTGAAAACTGGGCATGAAGTTCATTGGGCCCCCTATCAGCACCTGTTTCCTCTAAGCTTCAAGTTCACTGGCGTGAGCGGATATGTTCATAAGTACCAAGAAGAAAGGGGAAGAAAGCATAAGGAAATCCACAGCAGCGTGGTACTGACTGTGTCGAACAGTCGTGGTCAGAAATGGTGATGCTGCTAGTGTCTGGACAGCCCTCCCTGTGCTGTTGGGCACAGGGCTGAGTGTGCTGTGTTCACTCTGGGCTTCCCATGGGTAGACCAGTCGTCAATTGAAGACCCAAGGTTGGAAGAATGGTGCTTTGTCCTTGAGCAGTATCTCAAAGGCATGTTCTTTCTTTTCACTTGTTGGAGATTGGCACGGCCCTTCGTGTAGACAGATTGTCTGTTTTGGGGTGTTTAAGCTGGCAGTGACTTTCTCTCTGTTAAGTGAGAATGAGGACAAGGTAAACTTGCTTGTGCTTTCCTGTATATTGTCTGGTTTGATTCAGTCATGCTGATGGTGCGACAGTGAACTCTGTGGCCCCAGGACTCTGCACGTTTAATTATTTTTCCCATGATGCCTCTCCCCTCTCTGCGCATGTCATGACTGTACATGCATTCATGACATGAAGAGGGCAGTGAACAACTTGCAGGACTTGGTTCTCTCCTTCCACCATGTGGTTTTTGGGATCAGATTCAGGTGGGCAGCCTTGGCAAGCAAGCATTCTTTCCAACTGAGCCATCTTGCCAGCTGCTATTTCCCCCACTTCTTTGAATTCTCTCATTACATACAATAGGGTAGGAAGATGAGTGAGTTAGAAAGAAGACCCATCATAGTGAGGTGATGTGGCTTTTATCATGGTTTACCTGGAAATTTGTCATCTTGTCCAATGTCTGATCCATGTGCTGCTCAGTCAGGGATCTGCAGCCATAGGAAGGATTTTCTCATTCCGCAGAGATTCCTAACAACAGCTTGTGCATTTGGGTTGTCACAGCAAGTGACTCTTACACAACAATGCTGCATTAGAAATGACCATGGTTACCCAGTCCACTGAGGTCAGCTGGGTGGACCAGTAGCACATCCTCCACCTCTCACTTTAGTCCTTTTTCAGTGTAGAATATGAGCACAGAGTTTCAGGCCTAAGATCTTAGAACCATGTTGTCTCAGGTTTGTTTAGTTTGATCATTCTTGTGGTGGTCAGGGATATAATTGGCTGCTTGTCAACATTAAAACTCAACTTAGATGGCTTCACCTGGTGAGGCTTACGTCACCCACCCGCCCTGTATACAACTTGTAGCCTAGAAAAGACTTTGGCTCACATTCACCTGCTCCATGGTATCCTCATGTTCTCAGCATCCAGTGTCTTTTTATCCTATCATCTTTAGAGACTCTTTTCCTCATGACCTCAGTGGTCCTCTGCTCCTCCTGGCATGATACCTGCAGTTTGAGCTGTGCCTTCAAGCTGTAGGCTATGCCACCATGCCAGGCTCTCTTAGAAAGAGCCTCTTCTAGCTTTCAAAATGTTGTATGTGATTCTCATCTCTTTGACAGAGACATGCTGTCACATGATATCATCCCCAGCTTTAAGGGAGAGAGATGGGAACAGAGCTGAGGCAGTTTATCAGTACCTTCAACAAAATCAAAGTTGATATAATAAGTAGATTTGGGTGGAGAGTTTCCACTCTCATTCTCACACCTTCAACCCAGATTATCTGTTGCTTTGAATGCTTCGTATGTCCCTACCTCATCTCAGGTTCTGAATTATCTTCATGTGGGCTTCAGGGAACTTTTCTTTCTCATCAGAGACTCTTGTCACCAGCATCTCTGTGATTTTAAGTCACTGGACTGCTAGATGACCAACAGATGGATGGACTACTAGAAACCCCCCAGCTGCCTGTAGAAATGTGACATGAGAATACAGCCTCTGCTCGGGTCTCTTCTCACAGATGCTGCTGTGGTCACACATATCCTACTGGGTCACTGTTGTGAGCCCTACCTGGGATATCTTACATGGGAAATGAGTCTACACCAAAGCAGTGCTGCCACATCCTGTTCCCCACCCCCTTCCCCTTCCCCTTCCTCTCCCTGGGAATCACAGAGCCTGGCTTCAGGCTCTTGCAGTGAATTGTTTCCATCCTCAGAAGGTATAAGAAGAGATTGCCTTCAGCTCTATGGACTCTGATTCTACCATGACTCTACCATGTTGTCTGTCTCTGGTGCTGGGGCCTGAACTTTCCTTGGAGCCTCTACCTTGCTGTTGCCTCTCTGTCTGTCCATGGTGTTATAACATAGTACCCGGAGTCTATCTCAGTGTCCTCTTGAACAGTGTACCACAACTAAAACCTAGCACTGAACCTTGAGCATGGCACAGGCAGTACCCCATTTAGGTACTCAGGAATGCTCTCTTTCCTGTGCTGGGCCCTCAGCCTGCCTCTCTCCCATCTAAGTCTCAGCAAGAGCCTGCCTCATCCTTGTTGGTTTTTAACTAAGTCTCTTATCATTTTATTTTTACCAATAAAGACTCAGGAGCCAGATGCTGGGGTGAAAACCTGCTAGCCCAGAGAGCCAGAGAAAGCACCCAGCTGCTTCTTCCTCTGCCATCATCCCAGAAGAGAGCTTTCTCCTATGCCATCTCATACAAAAACTCCTATAACTGGATGTCCCTCCCTTCTACTTCCTGTGTGTGTGTGTGTGTGTGTGTGTGTGTGTGTGTGTGTGTGTGTGTCTGACCTCTTGACCTCCTCTTACACTCTGTTTTTTTCCTGTCAATTGGTTGCTTGCTCCGCCTCCTGACCTATAGTTGACTTTATTTAGTCCTGTTTGCAGTATACAAGCAGAAAGCTCTTAGATTAAAGGTGTATGCTTGGGCTGAGCCATACCTCAGCCCGAAGCTGATTTTTCCAGTAAATAAAGCAATCTCAGGGTTCACACCGTAATCAAATATCTTGCAGCACATCCCAAACTGAATTTCTTTGCTAGAATAACATGCTCTTTTTAAGAGCCAAGATTGTCCAGAGCACACATGGAATGTCAGTGGTCTCTAAGAGGCTTTCATGCTCTTCCTTACTGACACATGGGGGTCACAGTGATGTCCTGTTCACCCCCATCTTTCTCCTTGCCTTTACTCCCTCCCCTTTATTCCTTTCTTCCATATATATGTATTAAACTTAAGTCCTGTATGTATAGCCATTTTCATGTCCTTTTGAAACCCTTTTTCATGTTCCTAAGTGTGGGTTTTAGCTGCCAACCAGGACTTCAGAGAGGTCAAAGAACATACTTACCTTTCACAATGCAAAGTGCACTTGTAGCCATATTGTGTGGGTACGAGAAATAAATCCTTTGTATATGTTGGCTGAAAACTGTGAGATGTTTTTGTATCTTGCGGATTCCAGGGGCTGAAAAAAAAAACTCATGTCCTTCCTGCCAGAGCTGCTTCTGCCAGAGGCCTCATTTCCGGCCCGTGAGGTCATGATGTCTCGGCATTCCACAGCATGTATCTTTGACCTCCAGGGCCCGAGGCTGAGTCTTGCCCCATTTCTGTTTTGAATGGGTTACTTGAAGAGGCAAGCGTCTGGCGTCCCAGGCAGATGTCTGGAATGCTTGATCATCAGAAGCTCTAAAGAGGTCTCCTGTGGGCTATTTTCAGAGGAGGGGGGAAGAACAAAGCCAAGTTCTCATTTTCTTACCTGCAGTACACATGACCTTGGGAGAAAAGCAGTTGTGCTCACAGCTGGGATTGACAAGTGGGTTTTTTTTTTTTCAGTTGGAATAAACTTTTGAGGTCTATTCTTTTTCTTCTTCCAAAATGGTCTGCTGTGTTTTCAAGTATAATATAGATGCTGTGATAAATTCTGCGATAATTGTAATTATTCTTCCGAAGAACAAAGAGTTGAAACTTGGGAAATACTTATGCTTACCGTGCTTTCTCCCTGCTTTTTTTGTGGTGCTGTCCCATCCCATACTCTTTGTTCTAGTTAGGAAGCTCTTTTTGTCTTGAAATGAGAACAGCAGTTCCGGCCCAAACAAATTTGGTTCATGGTGAACTCAGAGAAAGACTCCAGGCAGCCAGAGGCTCCTCTCGCTGAGTGTTTTTCTCCCTTCTGTGTGGGTGGACCATATTAACTAGAGAGCCCGGAGCTGATCCTGCGTCAGACCTGCTGAATGCTGGCCTGCATCTAGCTATTGCTTGGTGTCTTGACTGCCTTTTGTGTGATGCAGTTTCTGCTTGTCATCTGGAGTTAAGCTCTGTGAATAATTAGTTATTGATCATGAATAAGTTATGTCGATCTGTCTTTGTGCTCTCGTTCCTTGGGTCACAAAATAGAATGTAGTTCACAGACAAAGAGCCTGTCATCATTCATGGTTAATGAATTCTTATTGAAAACAGAGCATGGAATGAGGAGGTCTTACTCATCAATTTATTTATTGATAAGTTTCTGGGTTCCTTCTTCCCATCCTTTTCCTCCACTTAAAAGTAGGCCAAATGAGTGACTCTTCCTGATGTATTTGATAAAACCAGGATGGAAAGTTCTAGAGACTTCCCTCCTGATCTTTCATTGCAGAGAGATATTTCAAAGAGATATTTCAAAGGAGTCACTGGACAGTGCTAAGCATTCTTTAGCCTAAGCATAGTTTGCCATTATTAAAATCTCATCCTTGAGAGTTTCTTTGTAGGGTTTCAAATGTATTAAAGGCTCATTCATTATGCTTTAGAGGTTTTGAAACAGTTATTGTTGGCCTACAGGTTTATAAATGTCGTCTGTCATGGATTTAGTCCTTATTTGACATGAAGGTTCTCATTAATGGTTTGGTTAGTGTGTATTTTTCTTTCTTCATTCTTTTATTTTCCAACTAGGTATTTCATATCAGATCCCCTAGTCACCTCGCCTAGGCTTGTCTTGGAATTCATAGTGTAGTTTAGGTTGGTCTTGAATTCATGGTGATCATCTTGTCTCAGCCTCCTTAGAGTTAGGATTACAGGCATGAGCTTCCATGCCAGGCTTAAGGTATGTCTTTTTATAAATAACATGTATCTATTTTTATTTACCAATCTTACAGTCCCTTAAATTTAACATTCTATTTGTTTACGTATAATGTTGTGAGTTTTGAGATTCCATTTCTCAACCTAAATAATAATAAAAAGAAGCAAACAGATATTTTCTAAAGCATTGTAATGAAGATGGCCAAGGATTGTAACGAGAACACAAGTCATGTTAAACTGTAGACATCTTTAAAGAGGATGAGGCAAGGGGAAGTTTTTAAGGTCCAAGTGAGGAAGATTACATCAGATATTTTGGAATAATCCTCTTTGGCTACTGTGAATAGACAGGAGTGACCTCAATCCAAGGTTGCTTCGTGAATGGATATCGGTTAGAAATGTAAAGCTTTGGTGCCATCCATGGACACCTGTGCTACACAGGTTCTGTTGGGATAGCTTCTGTGGGACATTCATGCTAAGGACATTCCTTCCCTTCACAACCTCCAGCTATAGGGACTTTGGGGAAATAGGGTCTGCACAGAAACTACATTTTGATTTTGACAGCTTTTGCATTCTCATTTTAAATAAAGATTTTTTTTCTCCTAAATACTTGTTTATCAACAGCCCTGTAGTTAGGCTTTGATTGTAAATTGTTGCAGACACATTGGTCTCCTGGTTGTTTGTTTGGTCCCATGTCAGTGGCCAAAGGGATTGATGCCTGGGAATCAGTGTCCTACCCCTTGCTGCCACAGGGGAGCCACCATTTCTGGAGAAGCTGCCCTGGAGTCTGTTGATAAGTTTCATTCCTCTGTTTTTTAGACATGGTTATCTTTTCAAGCAGTGGGCTCCCAACAAATAAACAAAACAGAAAGATGCGGCAAATCTAAAGGCACAGGAAGTCTGAAAATAAAAACGGAGAAGGAAAGTCCCTTTGCGTATAGAATTTGGAAATGGCATGGATCATTAGACTTCTAAGAATTTTTGCAATCCTTAATACATTCACACCAATAATCAAACATCATTATAAAAATAATCCTTATTCATGTAACTAGAATCACAAATCAGATTTAATTACTTTAAAAGCAGTACTTCAAGGACTTCAAAACAAACAGATGTCAGGTTGTCGAGGTGGCTCAGAGGCCAACAGCACTTGATCTTCTCCAGAGGGCCCAAGTTCACTTCCTAGCAACCGCACGGCAGCTCACAACCATCTTCAAGTCCAGTTCTGGGAGATCCGATGGCCTCTTCTGGCCTCTACTGACAGTGCACACACATAGTTCTCATACATATATGCAGGCAAAAGATAATCTTAAAACAGAAACAAAAAACTTACAGATATCCCAAAGAAAACAATTGTTAAGATTTAGCTTTTTGTGATTGAAAAACCAATACAGACAGCAGGAAAATTGTCTGGAAAATACAGAAGTCTTTGTACTCTAGGCCAGTTTTTCTAAGTTTTACTAGTAACAGATATACATTGAAAACTAGTTAGTGTAAAAAAGACTTGGATTCAGGCTTTGCTTTAGTGTGTAGGTTCAGGTTTGAAGAATATTAGAAATGATTTGTAAACTGGACCGTGCATAAGTTTCTTTTGTAATCTGTGTCCTTCCAAACCTCCAACTTGCAGACTAGAACAGGCTTAAGTTTTCACTCTTCCCTTTTCTCTCTTCTTCCTCATTTTGGAACAATGCCTGCCATTCTACTATTGAATATGAACTTCATTTTGTAACACCAGATCCTCTTATCTGAACAAAATGCTCTCTTTTCCCTTCTTTACCAAAAATGTCTCTTTCTCCTCATAATCCTCTTGGTCTCTTCCCTTCCTGCTTCGTGGTTCCAGTTGGGCTTTGTTTTCTTCCTTAAATTGACACTTTTCAATAAACCTCTAAAAATCTCTGCATTAAGACAGTTACCATTTTTCACAATGAAGGGATCAATTTTATGGCTTACAGGTTTTCCTCATCAAAACATGCTTTATTCTTTCTACTTTGTTCTTTCCATATAGAATTACCCATCAGCTTGAATTTGAAACTCCCAAGTAATCATTTTAGTGAAGACCAGAGAAGAAATCTACCTTGAATTTTTTCCATGTACTAACAATGTATGGAAATGTATATTTTAATAGACCCAGTTATATACTGTGTTGTACAGATTTTAAAAAGCCAAGAAAACCTTAATTTATATTTAACTTACTTTTATTATTATAACTTACATTGGAATCATATAGTTCCTTTGTTTGCTTAATGCCACTTGTAGGCTTTCGCTTATGTGGTAATTTATTTTTAAACATACTATTTCACACTCAGCTAATTTATTCCTTGATTACATATGAAATTGGAGATGTTACATATATAGTCTTTTTTTCAGTTATTTCCTTGCTGAAGACAAGCCCTAAAAGTTAAATAGCTGTGTTAAATGTGTAGGAGGCAATAGACATTACATTATCTTTTTATTTGTGTATTTATTTTTTAAGCCAAAGTTATGGTTTGATTTCAGTTTCTAGCAGAGATAATTACAACCTTGCCAAGCCCTGAAGTCAAGGCCAAGGTGTGTGCTAATACCGAAAGTCATCTCTGTTTTTGTTTTGTCCAAATTTGTAAGCAAGTAGGACAGTAATGTCTCTTTATTAGTTTATAAAAAGATAGTTGAATGAAAATTTTATTGGTGATAGAATGGAACAAGTTAAGGTCACCCACTTACATAACTAAACTTTAAGACTCTTATTTGTAGTTTTATAAAGCCTGAGACCAAATTGTTCAGCCTTGGCAGTTCATATAGCTTACAGTTTTCAAATAAACCTTCTCGACTTTAATTTTATTTTTCCGCCTTTTCTTTCATCTCAAATGAACTTAGGAGTGAGTGCTTAGATGTTTTCATTTTGGCTAGAATTGGGTGAAATAAATTTCCAAACTCTCTTGAATAACAAGATTATTTTAATGTAAGGGGAAAAGGTGGATTGAAAATAGAGACAAAAGGAAATTAGAGCAGAAACTTAACATGATTATTTTGTTTATTATATAGTTGCAGATGTAGAATAATCATAACAGTGTTGACATGAGAATTTTAAATCAGGCATGCAGTCAAAAAATGTCTTCAGAGACACAGTGCCAAGAGAGATTTACTACCAAGAGACATAAATGTGACCACAAGTTCAAGTATTTTTAAAATACCGAGAAATCACTGCTGTAGGAGCTGTTGTTAAAGTTATTCAGTTGAATTGCAGGGTCAGCTGACCCTGGCTAAGTTAACTCTGCCCTGAGCTTTTGCCAGGACTCAAGGAAAGAAAGTCACCTTTATGCAAAGTCATTCCCATGAAAACAGGCAGCATCTGGCAGAAGACCCTTCATAGGAGTCCCACTTCAAAGACGGTTTGTGGCTTCATGGAGTTCTGCCTGCTTTAGTCCACTGCTTAAAATCAGTGTGTGCCTTTACCAAAAAGTGGGAATCTTGATCTGAGAAAAGACTCATACGAGTCAGAAAAAGAATGGAGAATACCACAGGTTCCAGCTAGGGTCTGGTAGAGTTGACTGTTTTCTCCAAAGGGTTGTGCTCCAGGCTCCAGGCCCATTTGTGATCACCACATATATCAACTTAATTAAAAAAAAATCTGACATCCATCCATTCTTCCATCCATCCATGTCTGTATGTATGTGCCATCTACTATCTAACATGTTTGCCATATCTATCATATCCTTCACCAATCATCTATCTTATCTACCTACTTTTCTTTCTGTTAACTCCTGATTGTCTCTCTACCTGTCTCCCTGTCTATCTATCCATCTATTCATCCATCCAGGTTAATTTTTATTGTCAACTTGATACAACCTAGAGTTGTCTGAGAAGGAACCCCACTTGAAGAATTGCCTCCATCACATTGTCCTGTCTGTGGCCATGTCTATGAGGTATTCTCTTGTTAGTTAATCTAGGACAGTGGCACTCAAGCTGTGGGTTGTGACCCCTTTGGGAGTCAAATGACCCTTTCACAGGGGTTACCTAAGACCATTTGCACATCAGCTATTTACATGATGATTCATAACAGTAGCTAAATTACAGTTATGAAGAAGTAATGAAAAAATTGTATGGTTTGAGGTCACCACAACATGAGGAACTGTATTAAGGAATCACAGCATTAGGAAGGTTGAGAAACTCTGATCTAGGAGGTCCATACCACTGTGGGCAGCACCATTCCCTGGCCAGATAGTTCTGGGCTATTTAAGAAATGTAACTGAGCATAAACCAGTGAGTGAGCCAGTAAGCAGAGGTGGTCTTTAATCATTTCTGCTTGAGTTCCTGCCCAGACTTCTCTCAGTATGGATTGTGACCTGAAGTATAAGCTAAATAAACCCCTTTTACCCTAAGTTACTTTTGGTCAGTGTTTTCTTACAGCAATGGAGAAGAAACTAGAACACTACTTATATGTTCTATCTTGTCTACTTATCTTCTCTGTAATCTATCTAGGTCTCTTATATATAGTTCTCTATCCATCTATTATCTCTATGTATATAATTATATCTGTTCT